AGCTAAATATTTTTTCAACGTACTTTGATACGCAGTACTAAACGAAAATCCAAAGTATAAGAAGAACTAAAAAATAAATGCCTTGAAAGTCTGAGGTTCCAATTGCGTAAACATTTATTTGTATGATTTAATTTTCGAAAAATAATATGGCTAGCCTCTCTTAAACTTTCATATGTTATAGAGAATTGTAAATTAAAATAGGTTTTTTTATTTTACAAATATTAGATGTGAAATCTTTTTTTCTTCTCTATTTCCCCTTAATTTCTAAGACCTTATTTAAGAAGTTAGTAAGTATAAGTATATAGCGAGAAAGACTCGTTGCTTTCTTTCGCTATGATATACGCGGGTATATATAGTTATATAGCTGTAGTCGGCATTTCCATGCACACCACTCCTCTCTCCGTAGGCACATATTCAGTATACCCCTTCCACGCGTCTCCGAAGTATGTGCCTACATGCCCATTTCCACGCGAATCTGTAGGCACACACTCGGTATACCCCCTCCACGCTTCTCAAATAAAAAAAAAAATATGTGTGCCTGGTTCGACCGCTTGGCCGCGACGGGGCGCTCGAAACAGTGGCCAAAAGTGAACTCGCGCCGTAGCATTGCAGTCAGCAATCTCTCTACTAATCTCTGACCGTGTTAAAGTGAATTGTACTAACCGTGCGTGAAAATGTCCGCCTACTAGTACGCCTACTGCATCACGGTTAGTTTAACTGTGTTTAACACGTCAGTGCTCAAAAGTTCAACCATAGACAAATAAGAAATAGACTGCTCTTTCTTATGTACGGCGCTAAAGCACAAGTAGAAAGAGACACAACATCGAACGTGTATATCTGTCTCTCTCACACGTTGCCAACGGTAAGGGTCAGTCGACTAAGGCCAGCTGATGCAACCCCCCTGCCGCTGGCAACGTGCGAGAGAGACAGATATACACGTTCGATGTTGTGTCTCTTTCTACTTGTGCTTTAGCGCCGTACACAAGAAAGAGCAGTCTATTTCTTATATGTCTAAAGAATAAAACTGGAGAAAGAAAATTTTTCATAACACTAACAGAAGTTGGTTGAATTATAAGTTACTTTTCTGTGTTGACGATGTCTTTTTTCTATTTTACCAAAATTTTTTGACCAAATACAAAATTTTTTNTCTCCTTTTGGCGCTGCCAGTTATAGTAGATAAAGCTCGGCTTTGTATAAAACTGTTTGTAAAGGGCAAACTGCTCGTTGGTTCTTCAAATAACTAAATGTATCTTTAATTCTATGTTCTATTTTTAAAGTTTTGTAAGGAATCATCCAAACTTCATTCCAAATGATTAAATCAACTTTATAGAATTTTTATTTAATAAATTTAAATTCCGAAAATGCACTTTTTACAATATCTCAGTAACTGTCTGGCAAACATAAGGTTGTGTGTTCAATGCATACCCGAGGAAGGTTTTTTTTATTCTTGCAAATAGTTTGAAATTCCTTCAAGCGTACAATTTTGGACTTTCCAAATTCAATATAAAAATTATTTGTCATCATGAAAGAACATAGATGGACTAAGAGTGCTTGGAACAGTACGTTCATCTATTTATGTGTCTATGAATTTTGATGGTACATTTGTATCACAAATATTGCTTTTTATACCACTGATAAGGTCATACAAGTCTTCTAATATAAAAATAATGATTTTTTCCACGTATATTTTCGAACATATTTTTTTTAATTTTCGTTATATTGCACGTATATAACTATTAATGAATATTTATACAAAAAGAAATTTTTTTTTCGTAGTTCCATTGTAAAAAAACAAGTTTATTCTAGCAATAGTAAACTATTAATTGTTTTAAATATTATTATCTACATCGTTATGCAAATATGTAAACTTTAAATGAAAAAAAGCCAATGCTATGCAAAGCATGTAAAAAATAGTTTAGAAAACAGACACATCTTTATAGATTTCTGTGAAACTGTATAAATCGTTTAAAAAAATTTGTTGAGAGTGTAGGAAACGTTTTTTAAGAAACGATTCATCGTAAAGAAAAAGGATTCATTTTTGAAAAGTAACCATGTTATCAATAGATTAATTTATTATTATTTATCAATAGATAACTATTAATTTCATTAACTTTTGTGTAAGTATAAAAAATCTTCTGAATTCTAATCATAACTAAAAATAAGATAAATTACGATCTGAACAAAGATTAAGTTAGTAACACAATTATTATGATCAAAAAACTGCGTTTAAAAAAAATTGAATTTAATTAAATTGTTATTAACTCAATTGCAAAATTTGAAGTAATTATGTATGAGTACATTCACTAATTTACCGTATGTTTTGGACCTAATTAATGTTAAAAATTCAATAATAACTCAAAAATTCCGGAACTATATTTGTGTTTTTTCTCATTTTGTATCTAATACACATTGATTCTTTGTGTACTTTATTAAGAAAACCGTGATGGTTTGGCACGTGAAGCGTGCAAGAGGCGAAGCCCACTAATGTATATCTGGATTGAGTTCGTTTAATTGCAACAATGAAACAGCTTGACTGAAATTGATAATTTTTAAACATATTTTAAACAAAAATTTAATATTGTACACACAGAATTTGGTAGTCACTTTCTTTTTATCGACAATATAGTTTTGATAGTAATATAACAGTTAACTTTTTTTTCAAACTAACACTCTTTATTTTCTTATGGGCATCAGAAAAAGCACAAGGTTTTAGTTTTTAATTTAATCCTATATCGAAGAAGTATTTGAACATAAACTTTGAGTATTTTCTGATATCAATGAAGCAATGAAAGGTTTTCATTGAAAAATAAAAAATGACCGTCACATGATTATCAAAGAGAATGTTAATTTTTAATTGATGCAAGTATTACGTTCTATGGACTACTTTTGTGTAAAATTTTTTTTGCAATAATGAGTTCTAATCAAGTTACTTAATTATTTTCAATGAAATTACTCTGTCTATTAAAATACACATATTTGATCTCATGTATGCTTTTAAATGGTTTTAGATTTATAAACAAGTTTACAAGAATAATATTTATCAATAATACAAATCAGTTTCAATTATCAAAACAGTTTAGAAAAAATTATTTAGCGTACACTTTCATAACAAAAAATATCAAACACTTATTGTACGAAATATATTGAAACCAGAATGAGCTGTAGAAATAACAACACCTGGACATTGCGGATGCCAATGTAATTCTTTCACGTCACTCTGGCCTTGATGAATAAAAAGTAGTTGTGGGGGAAGCTGGGCAACAGTTTTGTCTAAATCATTTCCAGTTTGATCCACTTCTACGGATAAGTCCCACTGTGATATTACATCATCAGCTCCCCCTGAAGCAAGAATTGTAGCTTCGTAAGGATGCCATTCTACTGTCGTTATTGGAGCTGTGTGCTGCTTAAATACAGCCACAGGAGAGGCCCTGTTGGTGTTGAACTGACGTAAATCCCACACTCGTAATACGCCATCATCACCACCGGAAACTATAAACTGTGTTTCATTCTTGTTCCAGGATATAACATTTACATCTGATGAGTGAGCTTCTGCGGCGGTTAGCATAGAAGTGCTCTGAGAACTTGTTCTTGTGTCCCAAATTTTAATACTGTAATGATTTAAATAAATACACACTATTAATACTTTAATCAGACTTTTTCACTTAAAATAACTATAATAAAGATAAAAAAATTTACTACACAAGTTTTGAAATGCAACTAAAAATTGTAAGAAATGATTATGCCTACTGATTTTTTAGTTATTGGTTTCAAAGTTTTTATCCTACAGACTTGGCAAGCCAATGTCATACACTAATCATGACTATTCACTTATCAAGTCTTGGATTGTTTGATTGACATTGGTCAACCTTATCTGTACAGTAATTGTTGCCTTGTACACAAAATCATCTCTGGCAGTGCGAAATGCGAATCAGAGGTAACTTTTTATGTTTCAAAGGAATTCAATTATACAGTTAGGAACCGTAAAACAATTGTTGAAACTAGTTCAACATGAAATTATGTACACCATTTAGTATGGCCTTGTCTAAAGAGATTATGAAAATCGATCCTATATTATAAGTACTCAAAACATATTTGAATTTAAGAGACGTTTATTTGAATTCGTTCAGCTGCAAGTAGGTATCTCCTTTTGGCGCTGCCAGTTATAGTAGATAAAGCTCGGCTTTGTATAAAACTGTTTGTAAAGGGCAAACTGCTCGTTGGTTCTTCAAATAACTAAATAAATATCAGAATCACTTAAGTAAATTTTAATATTTTTCACAAAAGTTTCAAGCATATTATGTAAGTCAACTACGATCAAAATTGCATAAGGTATATAATTTAGGAACACATATTCAGTTTTTATGAGTTTTAGTGTATTTATTCCTCTATTTAAAGTTTTTATACAGTATATACAATCATTCAATCTAATTTCCGAGCAATTCAGCACTATCTGTAGTAAAAAAATTGTCATATTTTTTTAAGATCCCCCCCCCCAGACTGGGTAAGATTCAGCTCAACCCCTTCTCCCCAAATGCCTCACGTAATTTCTGGATGACCCTGAAGCACCATTGGCCAGAGTGTGCGTAGGGTAGCCATGGTTTAATGCTGCTTATATGCTGAACACTATTATTTCTACCGAGAGCGTAATAAATACACAAATGTGATAAAAAACGCTCTGAGATAGAAAAAAAGTATTGTATTTATTGTACCCTCGAAACTGAAGATCTAGTAAAACCGGTTTTTGTTTGCACGGTTATTATTAATTTATCAGCGTTTGCAATTGCACAGCAACTACTGTTGCCGTAATTCATAACTCATAACTGCCCATGTATAAGGTGTAATAAGAAAATGTCAGGAATTTTTCTATTTAGTAAACTATTAAGTGAAATTTTTAATCTTTTCTTATCTCGCTGGAACCCATATTTTTTTAGGTATATTGACATCTTTAAATGATTATCTAAGAGGTAATTTTTTATATTAGCTGATCAGGGGACCATGCGCGGAAGGTTAAATGGGTTTAAGCGGGACAAAAAGTTGGAATCACACAAATTAAGGAGGTTCGGTCGTTTTTCCCGGGGGAATGAGCGGGTGTGCAGGGGGCTCCCATTAGACACCGTGTCAAAGATTAGTAGAGAGATTGCTGACTGCAATGCTACGGCGCATATAAAAATAATGATTTTTTCCACGTATATTTTCGAACATATTTTTTTTAATTTTCGTTATATTGCACGTATATAACTATTAATGAATATTTATACAAAAAGAAATTTTTTTTTCGTAGTTCCATTGTAAAAAAACAAGTTTATTCTAGCAATAGTAAACTATTAATTGTTTTAAATATTATTATCTACATC